CTGAAGAATATGTTGTTGAGGTCACTACTATCCAGGACAGCACTTATGGTAAGCAAGTTACTGTGCTTCCTGAAGTGGAAACTAAACGCACTCGAAAGCCAGTTCAAAAGCCTGCCGAAACTGGTCCTGGCATCGTAACCGAGAGCGGTAGGAGTACTTTTAGCCCTTTCACCCGCGACACTACTACTGGTGAGCAGGTTACTGAGCAACCTATAATGAATACAAAACGTTCTAGAAAGCCAGTTCAAAAACTTGCCGGAACAAAGCCTGGCATCTTCAAAAAGAAAACTAAGGCCGGTTTCACGCAGCACAACGGTCGAGGTGAGCAGGTTACGGAGCGTCGTGGAAAAATTCTCACCAAGGGCCCAGGACATGATTACGATGCGTATAACGACAAAGAAGATGAAGGTGCTACTGCTGATTTTGGAGTCGAAGTTTGGAACCCGGTGACCTCAGAAGATGCAAGAGACATGGAAGAGGCCCGTATTCCAGACGACCCTGCTATGACACCCATTGATCTATTTTCACTCAGTTTTGGAATTGCATTTGTGTTTATCTCTTATATGTTCCATTTCTTTTAGAATGTTCTGATATCCTTGCCAAAATTCTTCTGCCCATGACGTAACTATTAATAGGCATTACTTGTGACATTTGACAATAACAAATTATTTATTTATACATTGTTAGACATTTTCAAATGGTTGGCATCGATATCATCATATGGTTCAATAGAGATAGCCGGTGTTGACTGCAAGAACTATACAGTATTGTTGCTAGTACTGTACTTTACTGTATGTGGAGCACTAATTTGGTGCGACAGCTTGTTGGACGGTTTATCGGTCTGCCTGCCTGTCCATCAAACAACAGACCTTTTCATGGTCATGATAGAGAAAGTGATGGGGATAACCACCGCAAATGGGGGGTAAGTGACAATTAGGGGAAACCTAAGTAAGTCGCTTAGTGTGATATTGGCGGTAGCTCTTGTACTTGCTTAAGCGATTATGCTCTTACCAGTCGGTTCGCCTGGCTAACGCCGGGCTTCCCTACTTCCTTGATAAAGATGAGTAAACGGCTAACTCTTCAGTCCTTTTTTGAAACAAATAATAGATTCCTGTGCACAAAATTTGACACAGGGATCAACAGGGCAGTGCGGTAAGATATCCAGTGAAAGTTGGTGTTCAGGCCTTCAACTGAAAGTACCGTTCTTTCGCACCCACTTTCTTAAAAATGAATGCCCAATAAAGATTCATTTGTCAGGCAATCGAAGCATTGGGCGGTAAAAACAAATGTTTCGAACGACGAAAATACAACTATCAGATTTCGTCATCAACGGACTGCACTTAC